AACAATTGATCAAAGATTGCAATGAAGGATTGTTCGAATGGTGGATAAAGATCCTCAATCAACTTCTAGACAAATTCAAGCTGACTTTCAGGCACAGGGTACAACTGTGTCAGCTCGCACTATAACAGTAGAAAGGCATCATGGCACACTCACAAACCAGCATGTAAAACAACTTGTCTCACCACTAAGGACAATGACAGAGGTTTGGATACACGTCTTCTGCAAAGGATGTGTAAGCCGCACTGCCGCGCCAAGGCCTTCAAGGACAAGGCGTCATTGTCCTTAGTGGTGAGACAAGTTGTTTTACATGCTGGTTTGTGAGTGTGCCATGATGCCGTTCTACTGTTCAAAGCCCGTTTCGTGTGCACCTTACTGTATAACTGGTAACAAATTGTTGAGTGCGTTTGTCGTTTGTTTAGCACGCACTATAAGTCACCATCTGAATGAAAAGGGATGCTATGGTAGCAGACCCAGGAGGACCCCATTGCTGACACAGAAACATAAAAAAGCCAGATTGGAGTTTGCCAAAACTTACCTGAGGAAGCCAAAATTTTCTATTAGTTTCTGTGTTTCCCCTGGGGAGAATTAACATCTGTATTTGTCCTGGAGACCATTGCCACCAAGAAAGAAAGTGATAGTACGAGATCTAAAAGTTTACTGGTGCCACCATAACAAGAGATGAGGGCATAGCTTCCAATTGGGACACCTGTTCTAGTGACAGCTGCATAAGAAGGGAAACCTCAGTTTGATGAGATTTTCTGCAGGATAGGAAGTGAATGGAAATCTCCCAGCAAAACACAGACAGCAGACTCTAAACTCGCAGGGGTTTAAACAGGGATCGACGAGGTGTCCGTACACGGACACCGGTGTCCATGAGTGGCACTTTCTTGGTGCCCGACGCTGGGGTGGGGGTGGGGGAGCATTCTGCAGAGAAGCAGAAAGCAGCTGGTGCCCAAGGCAGAATAACGGGCCCGACGCTGGGATGGAGGTTTGGGGAAGCCTTTGCAGGGGACAGCACTGCAGCTGGTGCCCAAAGCTGAATAATAGGGGCCCGATGCTGAATAGCAGAGTAGCAGCAAGCAGCTGGTGCCCAAGGCTGAATAATAGGGGCCCGATGCTGAGGTGGCGGATGGGAAGCCTTTGCAGAGGACAGCAAAGCATCCCTTTATCTCCCATATTCAATAAAATGTAAGCTTTTTGTAATGTATGTTGGAATGCCCTGAGTGACTAAATACCGCACTGCCCACTAGAGAGCCCTGCACCGAACACCAGAGATCCCCACACTGGCCACCTGAGAGCCATCATGAGACTCTGTAGATGTGATCCTGAAGCAACACAGAGTAGGTAGCTTCAAATCTTTCTGCATTACTGTATAATGTATTACTGGGAATTGTAGTCCTCTATAGCTGGTGCAATTCTGAATTGTCGTATACATAGGCATGCGCACACCAGACTAGAGTGTTTTTTGATGGTTTTAGTTTGAAATGTACCTTGGTATCCTTCACTAAGGTCTGTACTTTGGAAAAAGTCTGCCACAGCCTTGGTCCGTGCCTATCCCTGGGTTTAAACCTTCCCCTATTCTATCCAAAACTGAAAAGAAACGTTTGGCTACAAATACACTTTACATTTTTCACCAATTGTAACTTTGGCACTTTTTTTTTTATAAACTTTTTCACACTGTAATATGTTATATTTACAACAAAATGAGAGCATTTGGCTTGGACTGGGATGTATATTAATTGTGATAAATCATAGTTGGCAAGCAAAACTCTATAAAATGCAATGGAGGAAATCTAGTTATTTTAGCTTAGGAATCTTGTGTCTATGTATTTTTTCCTGGCACTGGTTATACATGGCTCCCCATGTCTGTTGAGAGGGTGACATACTGTATGGCTCTGTCTCAGCTGTACATGCTGGCAGCCACATAAATAACTTCCCAGAGTTTATAGCTCTCTTTCTGTATGCCTTCATTAAAGGACACTTATTATTTCCTTGTTCTTTCTACAGATGTAGTACATGTTGCCGTATTGGTAATGAGCAAACATTTGTTGGCCGTAATGCTGAGACAGCTATCAAAACCCTATGACCCCTTTCACACCGGCATTGTTAGCTCAGATGAGATCTGTCTGTAAAACAGAAAAGTCAAACTGATCAGACCGCCAGTCTAAAAGGGGTCTATAAGATTTGAACAGAAGAGCGAATAATTATAAGTCCTGCCAGTTTTTTTACTGTTGTCTGTGTTCCTTTTGGAAAGATTTCTCCTTACTACCAATTGCCCCATCACTAGACCAGGAAGTAAGAGGAAATCTCCCCAGTGGGACAAAGATAGCAATAACAGAGGTTCTAATCCTACCCATCCAAAAAACAGCTTTTCTGGAGTCCAAATGATTAGTGACATTTGTGATTTCACATTCTAATACTAGTACTAATATTAGTAATAGAAATAGTAGTATTTTCTAGCAACTATTGTTTTATTATATACATAGTAGTTTACACAATTATAGCAAAACTGACTTTCAAATTGCCAGGTAATTGTCGGTAATGATTCAAGTTCTTCATATCTTATGCTGGAAAAATGCAGACAGATCACTCATATTATTATATAAACCGATTGAACATTTTCTCAAAGACTGCATTCAACAAATGGTTTTCTGGTCACATTGAAATACTGTACATATCTTCTTTTTTTCTGGGTCTAATGCAGGAAATGTCGTATGAGAAATGTCACCAACACACCAAAATCCTTTAAGGACCCCTTTTGTTTCCTTTGGTATGGGATTTTTTACACCACTATCCCTCCTCCCCTTTTCTGTATTTGGTGATCCTTAAAGGATTTTGGTGTGCTGGTGACTTTTCTCATAGGAAATCTGAGAAATCTGGTAAGGAGTGCGACAAGGCATCCCCACATCTTAACCCCTTCATGACCGAGGCCTTTGCTTAATTTTTTGCACCCATGTTCTAATCCCCATTTTAGTCCTGAAAATTACTTCAGACCCCCAAACATTATATATTTTCTGAAAGCCAAGACCCTGTAGAATACAATGGTGGCAGATGCAAAAGACAATAAATGAAATAAAATAAAATATAAAAGAAGAGGTTACAATGAGTACATGGATACACAACATGACCAGATAAAAAATTGTGTGTGTCTGTGAAACGGCGACAAATTTTAATACCCCAAGAAGTCCGTAGACGGCGTTCAAAAGCCCATACAGGCCATCCGTTTTGAGATGCGCATTAATATTGACCCTAGAATTATTGCTTTCACTCTGGTGTGCGCGGCGATACCCAGCATGTGTATCGCGAACGTCGTTTTCATAGGTAGGCGTACCCGACGTATGTTTACATTATGATGCACGTGCTCGCGGGGGACTTTTTACATTCTTTTTACATTTATTTCATTTGATACTATTTTTAAAAACTGTTATTTTTACTTATTTTTTACATTAATTGCTATCACATAGGGAGCTTACAAGCCCCCCATGTGATAGTAGATTGGTGGTGACAAGTACTCCAAAAGACCCTTAGTATCACATTTACACTCTAAATAAGCTATATAAGCTTCAGGAGCCCAGCTATGGGACCGGAAGTGATTCAATACACGTCGCTCCCGGTCCTATAGAACGGGGAGTAGCTGTAAAGCCGACGCTGGGAGTCTCCTTAAACGGGCCCGGTGCATTAAGGGGTTAATGCAGGAAAGGGCCATTTAAATCAATTGGCCTGTATAGTACAACTTCAGTTGCCCTTTAAAGTCAAACTGCAACTTTGGTGTAGTTACACCTATATGCTAGCCCACCGTCTAGTATTAAACTCACCTGTCCCCAATCCACCAAGATATTGCTCTCTAAATCGCACAGGGTTAACTGCTCGTTTTTCTCTACGGGCAAAAATAAAGAAGAAATACTTCTCCAGCTGTGTTATGTCCCTTGGTGTCTTCATATCTAATAGACCTGTATTAGGCATGATGACATCACGGGTCCTTAGAGCCAGAGCCCGGGGGAGAAGAGGCTGTGGGGACTACTCTAGCAGCCAGGTGAGACAATAGATCGGGTGAGTATTTCTTATTTATTTTTGCCCCTAGACAAAATGAGCATTTAACCCTTGCAGTGCGGGAGTAGCCCCACAGCAAGGGTTTATTTTTTTAAATCCTGGAGTTCCCCTTTGAGTCTGAGCTCTGCTGTGAAATCCAGGTACTTACAGGTGAAACTCGAATAATTAGAATATCGTGCAAAAGTAATTGCAGTAAGTGCTGCAAAAGGGGCCCAAACCAAGTACTGAGTACATATGCATGCTTGTACTTTTCAGAGGTCCAATATTGTTCTATGTACAATCCTTGTTTTATTGATTGCATGTAATAATCTACTTTTTTGAGGTTGTGGATTTGGGGTTCTTGGGGTTTTCATGAGCTGTAAGCCATAATCACCACAATTATGACAAATCACGGCTTGAATTATCTTGCTTTGCATGTAATGAGTCTATCTCATATATTAGTTTCACCTTTTAAGCTGCATTAGTGAAATAAATGAACTTTGCACGATATTCTAATTATTCGAGTCTCACCTGTAAACTGCATTTATAAAAATACATTTAGTAGGGTAGCTGCATTCTTTGTGTCTTTTATATCTGACTGGTGTTCCACTTTAAACACTTGGTTGTAATGAGGTCCCATTTCCATTTTCCTGGGAGACACCTTACATTTTAAACTCTTCCGAAGCAGCACAACCACTTTGTTCTTGTGTAAAAAAAAGTCGTTCACTCATCTATGACATTTTCTTGATTAGAGATTAGGTAGAGACAAGCACAGAGACATCGGAGCTATTTGGGTAAACACAACCAAATTGGTAGTATATGGCTACACCGTGACACTACCAGGAAAGGTGGAAATGTGCTTGGCATGGATTTGACCTGTATGTTGATGCAAAAAATCATTTGTATTACATTATAAATGTCAGGAAGTGACAAATGGAGTACATTAATTCTCTTTTTTTTTTTTTTGCCAGGCTCGTCCAAAGGGTGAAGGTCTAACCCCATATCAAGGCAAGAAACGATGTTTCGGGGAATACAAATGTCCGAAGTGCAAACGGAAATGGATGAGTGGGAACTCCTGGGCCAACATGGGACAAGAGTGTATAAAGTGCCACATCAATGTCTACCCCCATAAACAGGTCAGCCAGATTGTGATGGTCTAGGCATCAAAACAATGTTTATAAATCACGTATGCTGTTTGGCATGTAAGGACCGCTTTTTTTGCAAGCCCCTTGCGCTCCCAACACCAATGTTTTTTTTTTAAAGTAATTTGTAAACAAACAGATTGCCTGGTAAAAAAAATTACTTACCTTGGCCCAGCCTGCTACACATCCAGGAGGCATAGGTGACATCACCGTGCTTCACCAGTGACTCCTGGAATTGCTGGGCGCTCACAGTCCCATGAAAATGCACTCTTACAAGTGACTGGAGAGCATTCTCATATGATTTTGTGCTCCCAGCTCTGCAGGAAGGTAAAGTGATATCACATGTGCCTCCTTGGAAGCACAGCAGACTGGGGATGAGATATGAATTGTTTGTTTTTTGGGTGATGATTAGATGAGATGACAAGCCACTGAAGTAAAGTGAAGGTTCTTATTCAACCAGGTCATGGTATATCTGTAAAAAATAAATCAAGGCAACTTGACTCGCTGTATTTTTCTTGAAGACGTTTAGCTGGTCATCAGACTAGCTTTGTCCATTCAGAATGACAAATGGGAGAAAAGCATACAAACAAAAGAATATGATCATACCATATTTAGCTGGGGTGTCTGAGAAACTCAGAACGATTTTTAATAAACATCACATGCCTGCCTGCTTTAAACCCAGCAATACACTGAGGCAACAACTGGTTCACCCAAAATGTTGGTGAAACAAAGCAGCAGCTACACCAGCGTATGGCACAGCATAGAAGAGCCAAACCCTCTGGTCAGGATTCAGCAGTGTACCTACATCTAAAGGAAAAAGGTCACACCTTTGAAGACAGTCAAGTACGCATCCTAGACAGGGAGGAGGACTGGTTTAAAAGAGGTGTGAAAGAGGCCATTTATGTAAAATTTGAGAGGCCAAGCTTGAATAGAGGTGGGGGGGGGTGAGACATCTATCATCTGCCACGGACTATGCTGTTTTAACACCTCTCACTGTGTGGGTTAATAACACTTGCTAGCTCCAATTATGCAAATACAATCAACCCCTTAACTTCACAAGGTCTCTGACCCCATGTTGGTTATGTTTAACAGATCATGTTGAATGGAGCAACATGTACCATATTTATTCCCAGAGAATTTTGTACGGATGTCCAGCAAAACTTCTTCAAGAAAAATACAGCAATACAAGTTGCCTTGACTTATTTTTTTACAAGCAGACCATATGATGAAATCAGCAGAGATCAGAAAGGATGGTGATCTGGTTGAATGTTTTAAATATAGACAGAAACCTGGAGTAGGTGTACAAGCAAAATCCTAACATAAGCAGAAGCATGTGACAGGAAATAGATGACTACATGGAATACATGAATAACAACAACCAGGGAATCATGGCTGAGGTTAGTAGGCACAAGACAGAAACTGGGCTAGGGAGCAGAACACAAAAGCTGAGTAGCAGAAAGTTCCACATATTAGAATTACACATAAGTTATAAAGGCGTCTTTATGTACCCGCAGAAACTGATAGATCCAAGGACAGGTGAGCAGGGCACTCAGAATGAGAAACAGACACAGATTAGCAGGTAATATAGAAAACTAAGTGGCATGATATTAAGTTATACCACAGAGGCAGAATAAGTGCATTTATTGATATAATAACGTATCTATCCAGAACCTTACTGTAGTCTTTTAAATTTGACTATTCTCATCCCAGAATCTGGTTAACATAAACGTCAGCAGGCCTTATGTAAAATGTGTGCCTGCTCCAAACCTCTTCATATTTTTATGTTACGTAGAATTTAAGACTAAATTATATATTTATGACAGACACAGTCAGTTCTTGTCTCTGCAAACCTCTGGAATGATATAATTAGCTGCAGGAAAATTGTGCTGTTGCCAGCTCGTGCAGAACGTGTAAATGCAATGTTGAACATTCCCTTTGCCTGACACTAGAAACATAATGTAAATTGCAGCATGGATGCTGACGCTGCACCCATTGTCCCTTCCTAAATCTTTTTAGCGTGGTTCCCCTGTCTAGAGTATGTTCTCTTTCTGATGCTGCCCCTAAAATCATAAGCATTCAGCAGTGTAAAAGCCATACGAAAGCTGTGAGAAAGTAACTGTTACAAAATCAGTTGAAATGTTCTTGCTACTGCTGGAACATGAAGGGAAATGCAAGTAGAGCCTTTCCTCTCCTTTTCCTGTAAATCACATGAATCGTTGGCCAGAGAACCTTACTGTAGTAATTAGGCAGTGTTAGCCAAAGAAGTCAAATGTTTTGGTTCCTGAAGGCTACATTGCCAAAGAAGTCATTGCTACCCTTGATTGTAGTATTACCCTGGGCATCACTTTAAACACCTGGTCAATTTGTTGAAAAGCCATTTGGATATATTCGTAGTTTGTTGACTTCATTTGGCCTGACTGGTTAAATGAGATGAGAAATGAGATATGGAGGTTCTTCCATAACCAAAACAATGATACTCAAAAGCTATGTATTAGCAATTCCTTTTTTTTTGTTGTGAAGTTGGTTCCCAGGTTCCTGGGGTTTCCATAGCCATGTTTAATAGTAAGCTTCAGGGATGTGCAAATTAAAGGTTATTACTATATTTAAATATGGAGTGATAGTTTAGAATTTCTTAATGATAAAATATGACATTCTCATTTTATGTTTGCACAAATGTATGCGGCTACCGTGCACCTGATAAGTGTATGCTGTAAAGTTATTTATGGTTTTGTGTTTTAACAGCATTCTTGGCAAACGCAAAAAAGGAATTATAATTGAATGACGCTTGGCACAGAATCCAAAGCAGTGAATGTTACACTCACTAAACAGTTCTTGCAGGTGTATCTTCCTGTTACATATGTTTTTAATTACATTGACTGGTTCAACTGCAGTGAATGTTTGGCACATTTCACATTCACTGCTTTATAATTATGCCCCTAAGTGCAACCTGTACTATTTAATCAAACCCAAAATCTCCTAGTTCAGTGGTTCTCAACCTTTCTAGGGCCGGGACCCCTTGGTAACATTTGCCAAGTTTTTGGTGACCCCCAACAGATTGCTGGACTCCAGAATTAGTAAGGCGCTGGACTCCAGAATTAGTAAGGGGCTGGACTTGGGACTAAAAATAGAAGCACACTCACAAGAATACAAGCCCTCCCCAGCCACTGCTACCTGCTTGCCTGGTCTGTCTCAATGCAGCCTTCTCAGCCCCAGCACTGCTTAGACGCCTCACATTGTATGGGAGGCAGGAGGACAGCAGCGGCTGTGAATGGAAAAGCCCTGCTGTACACACTTCCCGGCCACTAGATGTCGCTGCAGCAGCCAGGGAGTGTGTATAGCGGCACTTTTATATTCACAGCCTCTGTTGTCCTCCTGCTGACTGACACTGACACTGCTGTGCTAGGAGGAGGTTGAGGAGTCTCTCACCTAGCGCAGCAGAAGTGGATGCTGCGACCCCCTCAACAGTGAGTTGCGACCCACTTTTGGGTTGCGACCCACAGGTTGAGAACCGCTGTCCTAGTTACATGATAACAGTCGGGAGCTCCCATGTACTTGATCACTGTGACAGCCAGTCATGATGATTATATTACTGGTAAGCCCATTCACCGACCAGCAAACAGATGACAGTGCTAGGATTACCTGTTGGCTGTCATCCATGCCCTGTTAACATTGTCTCTGTAAATTAAAAAAGTCTTCTTGTTTATGGGCTGATTTTATTTAATGCTGTTAAATCTTTGGCCAGAATATATAGTTCATCATCTGGTGAGTCCTTCTTTATGAGTTACCTGGGCTCCTTCCCAAACCATACAGGCAACCCATTCTAAAAGCATTACAATCTCTTCTCTGATTTAACATAAAGAATACTACATGGCTTTGATAAATTTAGAGTACAGAAAGCGCCAATGAGATTTATTTGATTTATTACCCTAAAAGAGAACAATGAAACATAATTTTTGATTGGCTGCCATGGTTTCTGCACTTTGTCCACAGTTCTTTGTCTTTCTTTGCAAAGGCCTTTAAGGTTAAGCATCTCTGTTGCTTCAAAAAAAATATCTAAAAAGCAGACTCTCAGTCCTTTCCTCTAAAGTGGACAGAGTCTGAACTTCACTTTCTTCAAGAACGTTGACTCCTTGAGAATCTTCAGCAGCTGACTCACTTCCAGGAGAGTCAGATGCCTGGTTCTCTGCTGTGTGCTGTGGTTCCTCCTGTGGGCTTCTATGCCACTACTGTGTCCTATGTGACTAAAAAGCCCATGGATAGAACCACAGCACATGGCAGGGGACCAGGCATCTGACATTACCAGAGCATGTCAGATGTGAAGATTCTAACAGGGGCCATAGCTCCTAAAAACAGCAAAGTGCAAGAAAGGGCCCACATAAGGAGTTTTCTAGCTCTGAGCTCACTTTTCAAGAGACCTTTACTTGATTTATTTTTGAACTGAGCTAAAAGAAACCTATCATGAGAGAACTATGGAAGCTGTCATTGCTGGGCTCTCCTGAAAATGCTGGTTGCATGGCTCTCATGCTGACCCTATTGCTTCAACACTTTGAGTCACTGACCTGGAACAAATTATTTGCAGACACAGAATTAAGACTTTTGGCTGAATTTTTTTATCTACATTCTTGCTTCAAACTATTGAAGCCAGTGGATCAGCAAGACAACCAGGCAACTAGTATTTTCAGAAGGGGGTCAGCAATAGCAGCCTAATATTTTAAAAGGATTCATCGTGCTTTAAAAACCTCTGGCTAGCGGTCTCTGGATGGGTGGAGGCCACAAAGCAATATTTCTCCCTGAATTAATGGTTTCTGCTTCTCGACCTTTAGCTCTTAATAATAAAAAAATTCTTCAAAGTATAACTACATGGGCAGTCACAACACTTTTTTTGGGAGGGTGCCAGCTGTGAGCTACTTCACAGTGCATATAGTGCACTTCGAAGTGCCTACGGTGGGTGTCAGCTTTGTGTTACATCTTTGAGATATCCGTGGTGAGTGCCACAATAAGTACCTCTGGGTGCTTATTGTACGTGGCAGCCGTGAGCTTCATCATAGCACATGTATCACACTTCATGGTGCTCATTGTAGGTGCCAGCCGTGAGCTTCATCATAGTGCATACAGCACACCTCATGGTACCCAATGTGGGTGCCAAACATGAACTACATCACAGTGCATATTGCAATCCTAAAGGTACTCACTGTGGGCACCAACCATGAGCTACATCACAGTGCATATAGTACACCTCCAGGTACTCATTGTGGGTATCAGCCATGAGCACTGTGGTATTGGGTGCATGCTGTGAGCTAGTTTATAAAGTTTGTCATATACTAAAGAGACTTCTAATTTTAGAGTCCAATCCTTGATATGTAAGGACATTAGAACTATAAAATAGTTTTCAGAAGGTTTGCTAAATAGACACAAGGACTATCTAGTATCAGCAGCATACTGCAAAATATGTTGTTCTAGAAAATATAACATACTAGCAGGAAATAGTGAACATCCTAAGCTAACCATATAGTTACATAGTTAGGTTGAAAAAAGTCCATCGAGTTCAACCTATATATTCAATCTTTGTTATATATAATAAAGTAAACCATTACAGTGAATCTCCTAACCATCCGTCAGATGTTACTTGTCAGCTACACCCATTCCTTTCACATCTGGATTCTGGAACTGCCAGAAATGTCATTGGTATGTCATGGCATACTTCAAAAGCCAAAAACATGTGGTCACAGAAAAAATTATAGAACAAAATAAGAAATAGGAGTTCTATGTTATGTAATGGAAAACTTTTAGTAAAACAAACTGTGTTTTTAATTTATTACTGCCGGAAAAGGCTAAGCATAACCTGAATGCTGTATAGGACTCCTGCTTCTAGACTGCTGTTATTAGTGATATCTCTAGCATTGACTGGCATGCGTTATTGCATTTTGTTCTTTTTACCCTCCAGAATTGCTGCATACACTTTGGTAACATCCTGTGTGGGACAGTGCCCACTTTTCAGGATCACGAGTCCCAGCTACAAAAAACAGCTACAAAAAAATCAATTAGGATCTCAAACAACATTCTTCACACTTTTACTATAGTAGGTAGAGTAGCAATGAACACGATGGCACCAAAATTACCACTTATTGTCACTGTATTTTATCGCCTGTATAGTTGTTTTACCATTCTTGTTTTTACCATTATCACTGGTATTACCCTAAAGGTATGTTTAAATTATCCATGAGTGTTATTAGTTTTAAGCTGGTGGAGATGCATATCCCTAAAAAAATGTATCAAAGAGGAACGTCAGGAATTGTGTTCAGAAAGGTCTGAGGAAGATAAGTGTAATATTAATTACTTTCTAAGATACCGTGCAGTGTCTGACCACAGCGCTCAGCTCGCATTGCACCAATACAATTCCTGTAGTCCTTTATTTATTCAAGACACAATATCTGACACCAGTCTGTAGTTTGATTACCTTATAGAAACCTAGGAAGTTTTGTTTTGGGAGTGTCCAACTGCTTGATTTATGACACATTTATTTTGTATACAATTTTTTTTAACAATCACTTTTTCGTGGCATGATGACGGTGTTTGTTCCAATGTCACCCCAAGCCCTTTACTCTATGAAGTTGCTGTGACGCAGACACAGGTATTGAAGCAGTAGTGCTTGGATCTTGTTACCCAACACTTCCTATGAGATTGCTGGACTGGCAGACTAATCAAAGTTTTGAACTTTGATTCATCATGAGGATGAAGTGGTAATGTTTCTAATCCTAATCAATATATATGTCAGCCTTGTTTCTTTCTGCAATTGATCAGTTCTGATGGATTTCACACAGAACAAAAACTCTGTGCAGGTTAACTCATCCACTGTAGGCCGCTTAAAGTCTCTTATATACAAAGGCCTGATCTAAAAAAAGGCAGTAGCTGATGTTCAGGTTCCACACATCCAAAATTCCCATGATCGCAAAGTATAAACATTGCTACAAATTTTTAAAAGAAGAAAAAATTGTGGGAGAGTTTGAGGTCTTCAATCATAAACAAACACCTGTTAACCATCATTGAGGACTGGGTTGAAATTCACCAACAGCTGCTGAGCCATAACTATAACCGAGCATGGTATTAGGTTACATATGCGCTAATTAATCTTTTGTGTCCCATTTTCCCCCCTTACAGCGACCTTTGGAAAAACCTGACGGTCTTGATGTGTCTGATCAAAGTAAGGAGCACCCCCAGCATTTGTGTGAGAAGTGCAAAGTTCTGGGGTATTACTGTCGTCGTGTCCAATAAACAGTACCAGGTTCTGAAGGTGGTGAGCGCAAGAGTCAAAGACGTAGAAGAACAAAGACACAGTGACATGCATGTAAACTAATAATATGAGATTTAGAATGTAACATTCTTCCTGTGTATGTGTATAAACTGTATTTATAAAGCATTAAGGCTTAAGAAAGTGTTAACACAGTTGCCATTTGCCTCCAGATTTCCCTCTTTTGTTAGGTTAAACCAAAATGTAGATCTGACCATTATTGCATAGTGCATAAATCAGTTCAAATGGCAGTGATGATGTGCATAATGCAGTAACCCTCAGTAACCAACCAGATTTTAGTTTGCCTAGGTCAGATCAATGAGTTTTGAATTCTGATTGGATGCTATGGGTTACTAACCATTTAACATTGCTCCTTGTCTTACTAAATAACCCAATAGAGGTGACATATATTTTCTTGAATCAGTCAGCTTTTACAATATGCCCATGTCTATACAGAAGAGGAGGAAATATATTTTTGCACTTTTAATGGATTGTGAACCATTATTAAAAGCTGAATGTTACACTACTTTAAAGAGAAACTGTATAAACACATTGCTGTTTACTTACAACTTGTGTTTACCATAAAAAAGGACTGTTACATCAGATGTGGACTATCAAAGAATAGTATGACCCAATTACACAATGTGCCTCTGAGATGGCAATCTCCACATATAACACATTTGCAGTACCCCATGGGAACTAAACAATGATTCTTACATTATCATGTCGCAAACAGTTATTGCTAAGAAACAGCTATCACCTCTATTATCTATATAAGCCTTGGACTTAGAGGCACATGTTGGTGGTTGCTTCACACATCACCTCAACAAAAAAATAAATAAAAATCTGTATGCATATGGCAACGTTGAGTTACCAATAATAAAAACCTATCCCCAACTTCCGGGAAGGTAAGGGACATTTGTTTACATGTAATTTAGCCTCTTTGCTATTGGATCAACTAATGGAAGTATCCGCAGTAGCAACAGGGGTTTATGTTTAACATGGCCTAAAATTGAGAGGCAAGACACAACACCAATAGTATTATGTCAGACGGAAACAGTGTTACATGTTGTGTTTTATTGTATTCTCCTAAAGGCCAAAAGCACACATAAAACTTTAACTGTGAATATGGGGTTGTCCATGGATTGAAATTGTCCCTAATCCCTGAGCTAGAGATCTGCCTCAAGTACTATTTATAATTGTTATTTTGTAAGCCACTTTGTAGATTTCTTTGTCTGTTTGTGTGATTTATGTGTGTGTTGTAGCGTGCTGGAACTTCTGTTGTTTTATTTACCAATTCTTCATAGAAGCTAATCAGTCCAGTCCTCTATCTACTCTTTATTTAACTGATACATTTTCTTCATTATTATACACTGCTGTGCTAAGGTGGCTTTGCCCATCATCTCAGTTCAACTAACAAAACCAATCTTCTGTCTCAGACCAGAAGTATTCAGAGTCCCCTTATCTACTGCCAGCTTCCGGGCCTCAGTCCTGGCCCAAATCAAAATGAGGGAATTTTATTTTTTCAATTACCTGTCATATAATAGTTTATGGTTAGGGGTAGTTGTTATTGGAAGATCTGATCTGAAGTGAAGTGAGCCGAACACTGTTCGGCTATTCACTTCAGGCTGGTACAGCTGATTTCAGCCGTACATCGGCTGAAATCAGCCGTACATTGGCTTGCTTCGAGTGGCTTCGGGTCGGCCGAACATGCTCAGCATGTTTGGCCGACTAGAAGTGCACAAGGAGTTTGACTCAGCCGATCCAACATCTGGATCGGCTGAGCCGAACCTCTGGCAGGCTTCTCACTGCTGTTCGGGCTATTCTTAAAGATGCCGAACAGCAGTGAGTGATGGAGATCAGTGCCCCTGGTTAGCAGGTAACCAGGGACGCTGATCTCTCTGAAAGTGGCCAGAGCCAGCCGTAAGATCACGGCTGGCTCCGCCCAGCTGTCAGAAGCAGGCTGTCGGCCGGCCGCTCAGCCAGCTTCGGCTTTCAGCACGGCTCAGCTGAGCCGATGCATATGCATATTGTGAATAGCCCGTACAGCACCCCTTCGGTTCTACTGAACCGAAGGGGTCCTGGGGCCGAAGCTAGCCGAAGGATCGGCCGAAGCTACGGCCAGATCCTTCGGCAGCTTCGTGAATAGACCCCATACTGTTTAATTTGGTTGAATTTTACACAGGCAAAGTTAGATAAAATTTTGACCATTCCCAATATCTGCAGAGGCATCTTTAAGCAATCATACATGCTGAATGATTTGCATATGGTGCTTCTTATTTTAACTGCATACGTGGGAAATTCGTTTAGAGAGGTATGAAATGTGAGTGTTGGTATTTGCTGAATTTTGGGAATACAGAATTGACCATACAATGCTGTGCACAAATGTTTAAAGATTCCTTTTCCTCCTAGATCCACTTCTTTTACTTAAGCAGCAAGGAGGCTTGTGACTTATATCTGCAGACTTCTGCAGGATTTACTCACAAATGTGGCCAACATGTAAGATAAATATTAGCCCCAACTGTAGATCTGCTTTGTTTATGACCCTCCTACTTGATACTCTTAGGTGGACCACAGGTTTATTATTGTAGATATGGCCCTGGTTGTAGGTATAGCATCAAAGACATGGAAAGTTGGACATCTGTAAGTGCAGGCATCAGTGATGGTCACCGGTATTAGGAGCCTTTGTCAATGGGCTTTGGGCTTGTGTTGATAGGTTAATGAAGTGTGTTTTCAGGTGCATTATGCTTGCAATTGATATCAGTATGAGGTGCTTCTAAGTTCATTCAAAATTAATTGATGGATGCATTGGACCTGCAAATGACCACTTCTGACTTGCATTTTACCTCCTCCCTAGTTGCATCAACTTTCTTCAAGCTGCTTTTGCATTGACATTAACTTGTATGAAAAGAAAAGCAGTACTGAAACAAATAAAGCCCATCGGCACAGGTCCCTATGGCCACCACAAATGCTTTTATTCTTGCTCGGTAGAGGAATGTTATTTTAGCAATGGAGCTCAGCTTTAGCTGAACCAAGACAGATAAACAGTGGGTCTGGGAAGGTTTGGTGTGCGTTTACAGAGCTGGCAGCAGACGATATTGGAGAAAGAGAACATTTGTTTGAAGTTTACTTTAGGATAGAATGAATACACAGAAAGATACTGTCTCAGATTGCTGATAATAGTGATTTATTTCCCACGATTTTAAGCGCTAAAATCAGGAGTGCAACTGAAGGATTATTATATCCCAAATGCTATTTTACATACATATTTAGGGTAAAGAGGAACTCCAAAGAAGTGCATTTGATTAAAGGATGTTGGGGAAAGTTAGTTTACAATTTCTGTGATCTGATCATTAGAAAGAATTCCAGTCAAAATACAACATTCTGTGTTAAATAAATTAAGCAAATAGCTGTTTATATAGCTGTTTTGGGGGTTGCAGCTTGAAAAAATACTCCAGATTCTTTTGGGTGTGCTGCAGTAAGTCTAGTTTGTCTCTAGGGTCATTCTACTCCTGTAGCTTATGAATACCAACTAGCAATCAATATCATATGGAAGGAAACCCTGCCACTCAGCCACAATTTCAATGGACTAGACACTTGTGAAAGAACTGTTTGCACACGGTTCCAGATTAAGTAAATATCTTCTATATTCATTATTCAATCAAGACATAAAACTAGACATGGCAATCGCTCTGATTGCTATGGTCACTGCTATGATCACTGGGTGGTATTGCTATGCCTGGTTCTGTGTCTTGATTTGAAAAGAAGATTTTTGTTACTGGATTCTGAACCATGCGCAAACACTTTTGTTCACGAAGGGCTGGTGGGAGCCTAAGCTGTGCACCGGTGTTTGAACTGCTTTGGAGGTAGGAGAACTCGCTATTCACCTTTTGAGCCTGACTAGATGCGTGCTCTTAGCTAATACCAAGTTCTAATGCAGCTTGCACTAAAAAAAAAGCATTACTTTACACTGTCGGGTTCACTGGCAATTTATGTCCAAACTGGAGTTCTGTGTTTGTAATAATATTCAAAACAGCTTCCATCTTCAGACTGAGATAAACTAATCATCAAGATGTAGCTAAAAGACTCATAAAACCCCTTTTTAAAATAGTCATACGTACAAAAATTCAGAAATATTTTTCTTTTTTTAGTTTAGGAAACTTTACAATGTCATCTCAAACAGTGTGTTTTTCATCTCTTTGCCATGGGGTCTACACAGCATAAACATCTTAGGGAAGTTTGCAGGCTCTGTCAGGTACTTTTCCCCGTCTCACCTCTCATATACATTGCCTGAACCATAGCACTCATTAGTTTCGTGCTATGTGTTTCAAACATGGAAACAGGTCAAGTTTCCAATCTAGAAATAGAGATAAGCTACACAACTACCTTTTCTTTATTTTGTGTAAATATAATTGTAAATAGCTCACAGCTTGTCATCTGGGATGGAAGAGAAGAGTAGAGTATTTTGTAGAAGTTGGGGTTTATCTGAGCAGTGAATCTGGAAGAAGTTGCTTTATTGGGTCTCTCACACGGGCAAACTAATTTTACATTGGCTGGCAAGCCTCCTAGCAACAGAGGACACTAGGAGTCAGTAACTGCCTTCTTCCTAGCAACAGAAGGACCCTAGGGGGCAATAGCTGCCTGCATGCTAGCAGCAGAAGGATGCTAGGCAGCATACATCATAAAATACGGTCCATACGCAGGACCATGGTCAGAGATTTTTTTAACTTTGATTTTATGGATGTAAACACAGTGCAAGTTTACTGACCTTTATGCAGAGTGTATGGGGCCATATAAAACCATACGCCTGCATTCAGATCCTTGAAAATAAAAAAAATGCTGCTTTTTTTATGGCTGTGTGCATGAACCTTTACTGATAAGGAGTGGTTAATCTTTAAAGTGTATGCCAGGACAAAATAAACGAAAAAACATATTCTGTACATTTCTGCAATACATTTTTCTGTGTTTTATCCCTTTAAAGACC